AGCTATTATGAGGTAATTGCTACGATTTTTATATTCATAGCTATAGATACACTGTATCCCTCATAATATATGGATAACCGGTGGATTGTCCTCAAGTCGTCACCGGATATAGGTGATGCATTTTAAAGGTGGTCTAAATAATTCCACTTTAATTTCTAGATCCAAAGTACTTATAGGCTGAAATAATTTGAATAGTCGTGCTTTTTCTTTTTTACTTTTACAAGTAATGAAGACTAGGATGGTACTAATGATGAATAAGAACCCTACACTCAAGTGGAATAGGAATGACCATTTCACATTCTTTTATTTTAGGTCTAATCCATCCGTGGTTCCTTAAAATTGGTACGAAATTTCAGTTAGACATCTTAACTGGACAATGTTTATATTAGATACCTTATTTAGGGAATCGTTGTGTCATTTTGACATTTTTTGCTTACGTGTCTTAGTGAGTGTAATACACTCGTTGACTGCGCGTGAAAACCTATTAAGTTGACTTTTTAGCTTTTTTTTTCCTTCTTCTTTCTCATTTTCAGCCACCATTTTTAAACTTAAACATCCAAAGATGGAGAACAAAAATAGTTACCGTAAACTGATGAAAAATGATGAAAATTGTTTTAGAAATTTAGAATAGACCCGTTTCAAAATTTACTTAGTAAATTAATTCATGAGATTCTTTTACGAAATAATTTAATATTTACATAGGAGTTAAATTTAATTTTTTTGTGAATCTGTTGATTAAGGTAAAAACAGAAAGAAAATGATATCTGAGTGGGCGTGTTTCCTAGATATTTTTGCAAGTATATTTATTTGCTTAATTTCTTTAAAAAATTATTTGGGCAAAAATTCATATGTCATTGATTGATTGATTGCTTTTTATTTTTACTCAAAATTTATTGTTTAAGAATTGTTTTTGACACAAATGACAAATGTCATTGCTTAATTAGTCACTTTACACGTTATTCGCGACTGTAACACACACCTCATATATTTTTGTTGATTGGAAAAAAAGTGTCAAAATGACATAGCGGTATCCTACATGAGGTGTCTAAAATAAACATCGTCCAGTTAAAGTGTCTAACTGAAAATTTCGTGCCAACTTTAAGGGGTCACCGATGGGTTAGGCCTTTATTTTATTACGAATTTGAAATCACATCCAACTATAATATTGTTAAGAATTTAAAATGCACGTGTTTCACCATTTTGGTGATTTTATATTCTTAGAATAAATTATCTTTAGTTAGGTAAATAATGTCAATATTTGGTGTGTCTCTCATGTATGTGTGTATGTGGTTTCCTATTATGTTAGTGTAAAGGCATAATACATAAACATGACTCTTAACTTGGCTTCAACGGATAACTATGCCCTTTAACTTTGAGTATGTACAAATAAACACTTAAATTTGTATAAAATTAAATAAGTAGACACACGTATCCTACATGACATAATACACGTAGGACGCCACGTTGGACACAAAATTGCCTCGTAGGGTGCCATGTAGGATGGATGTATTTATTTGTTCAATTTTATACAAGTTTAAGTGCCTACTTGTGCACACCCAAAGTTTAAGGTCATAGTTGCCAACTGACGCCAAGTTAAAGGTCATGTTTATGTATTATTCCTAGTGTAAATTAACGACTTCTATGACATGGTAATGTTTCATTGTTTGGGTAATTATATATGCTTAGAATGAATTGTCTCTGGTTAGTTAAACAATGCCAATATTTGGTGTATCTTTCATGTATGTCGTTTCCTACTATGTGAAAATGTAAATTAACCACTTCTATGACATAATTCATCGATAATTTTTTAAAGTTTTGCATCAATTTTTATTTGAACCCCTTAATTAAATTTTGTTCATTTTAAATATTTCAAATAAGATCCCATTGTATCATTTAGCTATGTTGTTGGCACTCTTCAAAAATGTCGACAAGTGTATGTCGAATTCTTCAAAAATAGTGTGATTAATTTTGAAAAGTCCGATACGAATGCGGCATCATTAATTTTTAAAGAGTCCGACTAGTCATTTAGAGTCAGATGATAGTGCAATTTGTTTTTTCTAAAATAAAGACTTGCATACTTTTCATTTTATAGGTACTTGAGTCTCTAACACATGATCATAATTCATATATTAGGATATATACTCACTCAAAGTATGATCAATTTCGGAATCGCTTGAAATGCTCCTTAATAATGAAGTTTTGTTTTAAGGCTTCCTTTAGCCTAAAATTTTGGTTTAACTTAATATCATGATTCCTTTTATATGCTTAATACCTATTGGCAACTTATTCTTCAAATAACACACATATTCATCAGTGTATGTTTTGCAAGTCGGACATGTACTATAGAAACTATGAGTTGTTACAGACACTCAAAAGAACATCAATTACTCTCTTCGTTCATTTTTATTTGTCATAGTTTAACTTGACATACTTATTAAGAAAATAATTATTGATATAGACATTATACCAAACTATCCCCTATAAAATGATGTCTTGAAAAATGATTTGGAAAATAAGTACTTAATGATGAGGGTTCACGAATCATGACAAATGAAAGATTTTTTAGCCTGAATGTTTTCCAGCATGTGAATATTGTGAGTAGATTTATATATATGAAATATATAAAGGTATTGGTTAATAATTACTGGAATTAATTCAGCAATAAAAAGATTTAATTAATTATTACATCCACTAAATTCATCACTAATTAGTACAAATACACCAACAAACGTTCAGAATAAACACATGCAAATTAATAATAATGATAGCCAAATCTTTTGACTATACATAAAAATCAAGACTTTGGCTAAAATTGAAGATTAATTAATTCAAATCGCTATTTTCTCCAATGTCTTGAAAGTTATTAATGGTCCAGCTAAGTATTTACTTGACTCCACTGTAAATGTGTCGTAACGCATGAAAAATTCCACAAGCATCAACCTGCATACATTTATAGGTCCAAATTTGTTTATGAATAATTAGTCCTCGATCAGAATATATATATAAGTTCAACTCGATCGATAAATAAAGTAATTAAAGATTATTAGCCTGCATAACAGCACAGCCAGATCTTTCCCTGCACATTGTTTGTCATCGACTGTTGGACTATCAGTTTCTCTTGCATTTGACCAATAAACATATTTTAACAATTTTTCTCCTTCACTACCCATAAATCTCTCTGCAATAAACTCTTCTGGATTTTCAAATATATTTGCATCTTTTGTTGCAAATGTTTAATATCCAAATATCATTTCACCTTTTTTTATCAAAAAATTTGAATCATGACTTTGGACTATGATATATATCTTCTTTAGCCTTACCGTACTGGAACGGAATTGGTGGTTCAATTCTTAACACTTCATACACCGTTGATTTAATCAAACTCATCTTGTTGATTGCTGATAGAGTAATGGACCCACCTTCTTCCTTGATGATCGTCCTGATTTCATTTGCTAGACGAGTGTGTAAACTCTTTCCTTCACTTGCCACCCACTTTATCAGTGACGGAAACAAAATTTTCATTCCACCATAAGCGTTGAATCCTACAATGAAATCAATTAATTTTAGTTACTAATTCGCCCAACTCGTCTCCAAAATTACACTTCACAGCTTGAATTTGTCAATATCTACCACACTTCCACTACTTTAAATGTCAATGACTAGTACCTACCTTAGACAAGTCAAATTATCTTCAATGAACCTCCACTTCAAGGATAGAAAAAAATATAAAAACTTGTTGGGAACGCCACCCCCGAATGCGCTCTGCAGAGCGCGATCCGAATTTAGTCGGAGCTCCAATGTAGGCTCCGGACATCAGGTGGAAAACAAAAAAATCTTTTACAAGTAGCACCAACATAGGACTGTTTCACCCTTAACCAGAGGTCTCGGATTCGAGTCATGGGTTTGGAGAAAATCCTGTTGGGAGCGCCACCCCGAATGGGCTCTGCAGAGCGCGATCCGAATTTAGTCGGAGCTCCAATGTAGGCTCCGGACACCAAGTGGGAAACAAAAAAATCTTTTACAAGTAGCACTACATTGTAGTAAAGACTAGGATGGTACTAATGATGAACAAGAACCCTACACTCAAGTGGAATAGGAATATGACCATTTCACATTGTTGTGTTACTTTCCTTCTTTTATTTTATTACGACTTTGAAATCACATCCAACTATAATATTGTTAAGAATTTAAAATGCACGTGTTTCACAATTTTGGTGATTATATATTCTTAGAATAGATTGTCTTTAGTTAGGTAAATAATGTCAATATTTTGTGTATCTTTCATGTATGTGGTTTCCTATTAAGTTAGTGTAAATTAACGACTTCTATGACATGGTAATGTTTCACTGTTTGGGTGATTATATATGCTTAGAATGAATTGTCTCTGGTTAGTTAAAACAATGCCAAATATTGGTGTATCTTTCGATGTTGCTCAGATTCTTCAAAAATGTCGATGGGTGTATGTTGGATTCTCTAAAAATAGTGTAATTTTGAAGAGTCCGACACGGATACGACATTATTTTTGAAGAGTTCGACCAGTCATTTAGAGTAAGATGAAAGTGCAATTTGTTTTTTAAAAAAAAGACTTGCATACTTTTCATTTTATAGGTACTTGAGTCTCTAACACATGATCATAATTCATATATTAGGATATATATATACTCACTCAAAGTATGATCAATTTCGGAATCGCTTGAAATGCTCTTTAATAATGAACTTTTGTTTTAAGGCTTCCTTTAGCCTAAATTTTTGGTTTTAACACTTCAAATGACTTAATATCATGATTCCTTTTATATGCTTAGTTACCTATGGCAAATTATTCTTCAAATAACACACAGATTCATCAGTGTTTACAAGTCGGACATTAACTATGTTTATTTTTTTTCTACGACTTCTACTGTGTTCATGACAATAAAGTTTTCCAACATGTGAATATTGTGAGTAGATTTATATATATAAAATATATAAAGGTGTTGGTTAATAATTACTGGAATTAATTGAGCATTAAAAAGATTTAATTAATTATTACATCCACTAAATTCATCACTAATTAGTACAAATACACCAACAAACGTTCAGAATAACCACATGCAAATAAAGACCTTGGCTGAGTGAAGATTAATCAATTCAAATCGCCTTTTTCTCCAATGTCTTGAAAGTTATTAATGGTCCAGCTAAGTATTTACTTGACTCCACTGTAAATGTGTCGTAACGCATGAAAAATTCCACAAGCATCAACCTGCATACATTTATAGGTCCACGGATCAGTATATATAAGGTAAACTCGATCGATCGATGAATAAAGTTATTAAAGATTATTAACCTGCATAACAGCACAGCCAGATCTTTCCCTGCACATTGTTTGTTATCGACTGTTGGACTATCAGTTTCTCTTGCATTTGACCAATAAACATATTTTAACAATTTTTCTCCTTCACTACCCATAAATCTCTCTGCAATAAACTCTTCTGGATTTTCAAATATATTTGCATCTTTTGTTGCAAATGTTTGATATCCAAATATCATTTCACCTTTTTTTATCAAAAAATTTGAATCATGACTTTGGACCATGATATCTTCTTTAGCCTTACCGTACTGGAACGGAATTGGTGGTTCAATTCTTAACACTTCATACACCGTTGATTTAATCAAACTCATCTTGTTGATTGCTGATAGAGTAATGGACCCACCTTCCTCCTTGATGATCGTCCTGATTTCATTTGCTAGACGAGTGTGTAAACTCTTTCCTCCACTTGCCACCCACTTCATCAGTGACGGAAACAAAATTTTCATTCCACCATAAGCGTTGAATCCTACAATGAAATCAATATCTTGAATTTGTCAATATCCACCACTAATCGACTACTGTAAATGTCAATGACTAGTACCTAACTTAGACAAGTCAAATTATCTTCAATGAACCTCCGCTTCAAGGATAGAAAAATATAAAAAATCCTTCATACGAATTTTATAACAAGTCCTACAATCTCATACTTCATCACAAATAATCACATTTCATGTTTTAGTTATGTCACCAACTAACATCATAATAGCAAACACTTTTTTGTTCCTCTAGTTACAATAGTAGAACCTGTCATGTCAGGTCAAAATGTAACTCAACCTCTATCATACAAAATCGAATTTGAAAATCGAGAATTCCATAAATTTTCAAGTATTGAAACAAATGTATAAAATTTGACATACCTGCAAGAAAAACTAAGTTGTGACAAGCTTCATCTCTTTTGATCCCACTCTTCTCAGCATCATCAAGTGTACTTCCAGCATGCTCGTTAAAAGCATCGTAAAGCTTCTGGTATTTCGATTTAATTAGAAAAAACGGCAATTGGAAAGTATGCAACATCAAATCTTCCAGAAAATTGGGCACAAATTTTAGACCAATAGTGACCAATGGAGCCAGTTGAGGCAACATCCATAAATCAAAACATTTTGGTCCATTAGTGCCAAGATTTGTGTCATGGGGATTTGTGTTGTTACACAACAAACGAAAAACGAAATCAAATGACATTGCATCGCTAATGTCGTTGAAATTTCCTTTCATATTTTTAGACATTTCAATTTCAAGATTTTGAAACAGGACAGAAACAGAGTTTTTAAATATAGGAATAAATTGAGTATGCAATTTTGAGATTATAGATAAATAAAACCCTTTATGTGTTGCATGTTTTGGTTCTGATGCATCGAGAAATGCACAAGGACGATATCCACCGAAGAAATCAGTTGATGGCATGAAGGTGCCATCAAGAACGTTCTTCTTTTCGACTTTTGAACAGTCGAAAAGAATAGGAAAACTTATAGCATCGAGAAGAACGATGACTTTGGGATCTTTAGCAATAAATGGACCTGGTGGCATGTTTGTTCTGAATACAGTAGAATTATACTTTAGGGATTTTGTACGGAAGAATTCGTCCGCTCCGAGGCTGTAGTAGTAGTCATATCTATCTTTAATAGCTCCGAAGAATGGGAAACCATAGTCACCTGGGATTTCTCGAACTTGAAGGAGTGGTTTACAAGACTCATTGTCTGAAGAGTTAACAATGGCGGAAGATTTGGAGAAAATTGAAGACATATTTTTTAAAAATAAATTGTAATGTGCGTTCTGAATTTAGTAGTTTGTATTTAATACTTATAGAAGGAAGGAAGAATGGATAATGGGCATTTTGGGCATGATTCACGTTTTGAGAATTAATTTCACGTATGGTCACTCGATTTATTTTTATTTTATCAGACATTGGATAATTATTATTATTATAAATTTATAACTATTGTTTGTAACGAAAAATTACTATACTTGTCTAAGTAAACGTAGAAAGTTGATCAAAAATTTTTAAAAATGATAATTTTATTTTATCTAAGTATCATAAGAAATAATATCGTGTACACTGGTCGCACTGCTATACTTAGATAAAATTTTAAGAAATTCATTATGAAAAATAATAATCTGAGTAATAATGAAAATTTGAATGATTCATCTATGACTAACTTATAAATAAAGTAAACGATAGCTCGTCGGTTGAGGTGGGGTTTGGTATGGTTAACGTGGATAAATAAACAATTTGGAAAATATACTTTTTGATTTAGATATCTGTTTATTGTCTTAAATTTTATTATTAGCCTTGTTTAGAAAAAATTATCAATGAACACTTGATTAGGAGACTCCTTATTATAGAGTTTATTTTTGAGATATTGTAAAACAAAAAGATAACAAATACACGTCACAAGACAATAACAACTGACAATCTTTGCTATGTCATAGAAATATTTGAAAGTCATTTTCATTAGTTTGCTAGTTTATTTAATAAAACCTTTTTATATACATACTTCTTGATATTAAATTTAATTTGTTTATCTTACCATAGAAAATTGATGGAAACAAGTAACAACATATAATATAAGGAAAGAATAGGATAGCAAAGCAACATAGTCGCGATAATAATTTAATTTATCTTTTGATTTAAAAATATTTGTATCGTTATATCTTTTTATTCAAAAGTATATATATACCTTCAACTACCCGAATAGATTTAAGATACCCTTTATTTTAACGATTGTTCTATCACAAGGAAAAATTAAACAAACTTTGTCATTGAACTATTCAAAATATGTCAACTTTGCTCTTATTTTTTTTCCTGCACAATATTGATCATCATGTGTATCCCACTAAGTATGATCAGTAAACCATTGTTTAATGAATTCTTAAGAAATGAAAAGGGAAATAATATTAGTTTAAATCGAGAGAAGAATAAATCCTCATTGATCTAATAATGACGTAGACACGTTGTTTTTAATATTAATGTTCTGAGTTTGACTTTGTAATAATTATGTCTTAGAGATGCTAATAATGTGAGTCGATAGGATGATACACAATATTTTAAAACTAATTGCGTGGTTCCTTTTTATTTTTTATTTTTTTGGGAGTGGAAATGTGATTTTTTTTTTCCGCACTAATACAAGTAGGGGTGTACATGACCGGGTTGGTTCGGGTTTTTCAAATATCAAATCAAACCATTTGTGTAAAAATAATAATTTATAAATCAAACCAAACTAATAAAATTTGGATTTTTTCGGGTTTTTCAACCTCGAGTTGGTTCGAATTTTTCAAATACCAAACCAAACCATTGTGTTGAATTTTTAAATTTATAAATCAAACCAAACTAATAAATCTCGGGGGTTTTTTCCAAAA